TCCCCCTCGTGCTCTAATCCAAAGTCCCGAAACCTTTCAGCTCGACCTACGAAACCGTTTTCAGTGGCTAGAAGATTGCAATGCAGTGAATAGATGTTAAGCTTTAAGCTTTATTGATAATTATACAGTGAATATATGAAGTCTCTGATTACTGAACTAGGAATTATACCTGTATTTATTTTATTTTATTTTCATTTTTTATAAAACGTTACCCCCACACTAGGATTTTCTCCTGTGTCGTGGAGGCAGTTTACAAACACAAATTGCACAAGGACAAACATCCAGAACCGGAACAATTATTTGTAGGCCATACAAATACTTGTTCCGTGCGGGATTCGAACCCGCGGCCCCCAGCGCAACAACTGATTGCTAAGCCACTGCGCCACGGAGCCGTCAAATGTATCTCAGCAATCAGCGCCCTCTCCCAATTTTATGACCTAATAAATTAACAATAAAGGTTCAAAATAACAAGAATGTTTCAAAAGTTATAAAAATAATATACTACTTAATTTACGTACTAACTGTGTGTTGAGTGTGTTAGGGTTCATGTGTGCGTGTGCGCGCGCGCGCGTGTGTGTGTGTATGTGTGGGTGTGTGTATGTGCGTGTGCGTGTGTGTGTCAGCAAGCGTATTTTTGCGTTTATGTGTGCGTGAGTTTTATATATAAATGAAAATAACAGGATTCATCTAGCGGATTACATTATAAAATTAAACAAGTCCTCTGTTTCATCATAATTTAATGATAAATACCATTTTTCTACCTTCTTTTTAAATTTGTAAAGTGGAAGTGGATAAAAGTCAAGAATTTTGTTTATATTGTTATACAAATGTACACTAAGATAACCATGTTGGCGCCTGGCAAAGGACGTGCGGAAAGCGGTTGGAGTCAAGACATTAACTATTGTACGTTTTCTTTCTATTTTGTCTTTGTCGTATGCAGTAGCAAGATGTTGTCTGCTTATAAGTTGTAAAATGTATAACTGCTGAGCAGTAAGAACTTGACAATCACTATAGAGTATTCTAGTTGGGAATCTAAACGGCTTAAAAGTCATCGTTTTAAGCAACGATCTTTGGGCTCTTTCAAGTCGCAAAATGTGGGTTTTGCATGCGCCACCCCAAACTCTAATACAATAGTTTATTACTGACTGAGCAAGCGCGTAATATACTACGCGAAGTGTATCAAAATCAGCCACATACCTTAGATGTTTAAACGCCCAAATTAGCTTCCTTACTCTAGAGGTTTGTAGATCTATATGACTAAGCCAGTTTATTTTACAATCTAAAATAACGCCTAGGTATTTGACAGTATCAGATTTATGGAGCATATGGCATGAACATTGTCGATTTTTCAGTAATTTACAGCAATGTAGCTTGATTGATATATTTTCAGTGCGGTTTTCCATGATATTAAACTGGATAAAAGTTGTTTTTGACAGGTTTAGAGTAAGTAAATTCAGTCTTAGCCAGGAGTTTACCCTATGTATTCCGATTTCAGCATTTTTACAAGCCTTATCCCAAGTCTCTCCATAAAATACCAGCGCCGTATCATCAGCGTACGTAAATATTTGTCCATTATATAATGGCTGTTGGCAAAGATCATTAACGTAAACCAAGTAGAGACTTGGGCCAAGTATGCTTCCTTGTGGAACACCATTTGTAACTGCGGCATAAGAACTTACTATTCGATCGATCTTAACACACTGTACACGATCACAAAGAAAGTCCTTAAAGATGAAATGCACTACACCACGAATTCCTGCTCTTTCTAGCTTGTTAAGGAGAGAGGGAATCGAAACAGTGTCAAATGCCTTGGCTAGTTTTAGAAAAATACCAATACATTTTTGTTTATTATCAAGCTTAGTGGTAACGCATTCAACCAAGTCACTAACAGCATTTTCTGTGCTTTTTCCCGACCTGAAACCATATTGATGACATGACAGAATATTATTCTATTCTAAAAAATTCATCAACCGAGTATTTAAAACTTTTTCCAAAATTTTTGAGAGAGCAGGCAATACAGATATAGGCCAGTAATTATTTATATTATCTTTTGAGCCACTCTTGTGTATTGGAGTTATCATGGACTTTTTCAAAACTTTTGGAAATATACCCTGATCTAGACAGATATTAAATAATTTAGTTAAAGGCGGAACTAGAATATTTCTAGCTAGCTTTAAAAGTTTGCTGGAGATAGAGTCCCAGCCTACAGCGCAGTCATTTTTAAGGTTGATAATAATAGACTCTATTTCCGCTTCGTCGGGTGGAATGAGAACGCAAAAATTGACAACACAAGGTAAATTGAAGTTGTACCGATAGTTTTCGGTTTTGTGCTGACTTATTTTGTTTGCCAAATTTTTACCAACGTTTGAGAAAAAGTCATTTATACTCTCAATTGTACAAAACTTATTATCTATATTATTCAGCAACTCTTTAGCTGGTGCATTAATAGTATTTTGATTTGTACTAATTTTAATAGCTTTCCATTTTTGTTTATTATTTTGTGCCTTTTTAAGAAGAATTCTTTCATATTCAAATTTAAGCCTTCTTAGGAGAGAATTACAAAAACTTCTATATCGCTTATACGAAACTAACAAAATGTTATTATCGGGGTCCTTTTTAAGATGTCTATGGGCCATAGCAAACACCATCAGGTGGACTATCGAAAAATATTTTTTACAATGAAATGTTTTTTGTAACTAATAAAACCAGTGTTTAATTACTATCCCAACTGATAGATAGTAAGTGGTCATGTAACCGAAGATGATAAAATACACTGACATAGCCTATACACTCTTGCCTCAAATATTGTTGTCGGAAGGTAATACAGACGCTGGAAAGTTATTCCCCTAGTTCGAAATACGCATTATGAAAACATTTAGAAACTTTTTCCCAGGAGTTATGATCAATATATCATGATGATGTACAAAATTGTGGATTCCGTGTTCAAAATTTAACCGAAGCCAAAATTTGGGAAACAATAGTAATGATTGTTATCGGAATATATTTGTGAGTTAGTGTAATAACTACATACATCTTGATTTTTTTTTAATCCTGAGAAATGCACATGTTTGCCTTAGTCTCCGTGCATGTGGTAAATCAGTAAAAATTATCCATTAAAATTGCATATCTGAGAAAGAAACGTTACCTATTTTCGTGTAGCTTAAGATAATCCATTAGTCCATGATAGTATCCAGCGAGTATCGTAAAAGGGGACAGAGGCATACAGAAACTGAGGATGGGCAGCGGCATCTTCGTAATAACTACTGAAGTATTAAATAACTGCGGTTACCAATCCACCTGTTAAGAGTGGCAACTATGGTAAAATTGATTTCTTATATTTACGCGAACATTACACATTTAAATAAAACTAGTTTAACGGATTTTGTGGCGTATATTAATTTATTTTATATTCTCGACGGAAGTCTGCAGTCTGTGAACATGTACAGGATCGCCCCCGGCACTAGATTTGATAGAGCACAAATCCTCGCTAAAGAACACCGATTCCTTTCCAGAATGATTTGCGAGGCTATTGAAATCAAGAATACATCCTAATTTCAATAGAGAAGATGGCTGGGTGCTACCATCTGCTTGGAATCCTATAATTAATAAAATTAAATCCCAACCCAAGCATACTGCAAGACTTCAAGATACTGTAAGTTGATACTGCGTAGATCGGAACAAAAATTAATAATTTTTAATCTGGAGGTAGCCGTGGTTAACTATGACGTTGGGACGCCAAACACCTCAGTCCCCCTCCTGACCATGGGTGCTGTAAAGTACTCGAAACGTCGGGAATATATAATAAGTTAATATATATGCGCGATAAAATCCGTAAAACTAGTTTTATTTAAATATGGCAAAATTGCGCCTATGAGGCAATCTATGGAGGTGGCCAAGTTCCAGGGCAGTGAACTTTTAATATTTATTTATAAGCTGTAATGAAAGAATAAAAGAATTGGGCAACACGGCAGATTTAGGAATGAGGAACGTATGTAACGCTGTCATAATGGTGATGATCACTTAATCTCATACAATTTTCTGGTATTTTTCTTATGAAATGCCCACGATATCATACTACTAGGTAGGGTGACAGAGTCACGACAGGTAACACGACTCCTACACAGCAAAGTAAGATTTAAAAATGATATTTTTTTAAAGAACAAAGGGTGACAAACGAGCACACAGTCCACCTGATGGTAAGTAGATGCTGTGGCCTATAGACCTATACATTTATCCTCGATTAAGAATCAAAATGCAGATGCGTTGTCAAACCTTAGGACGAAGATAGAATCCCTCGTTTTCAGTAAAAAGCGACTCCGGTTATCTACACTCGCCATACGAAACATAGCAGCATTAAGCTGCTATTTTACGCTGGTATTCTGTAAGAGCGTGGTCCTTCCCCGGTCGAGCCGACCCATTCGTACTATAACCATAATATCTATTTGTTTAAACGTAACACCCACACCAGGATTTTCTCCTGTATCGTGGAGGCAGTTTACAAACATAGATTGCACGAGGACAAACATGCAGACCCGGAACAATTATTTGTAGGCCATATAAATACTTGTTCCGTGCGGGATTCGAACCCGCGGCCCCCAGGGCAATAATTCATTGCTAAACCACTGCGCCACGGAGCCGTCGTATATATAACGTGGCTCTACCACGTATAATATAAGTGATAATACAAAGGAAGGAAGCATAACTAATTACTATATAAGCTTTACAAAGACAAATGAAGCTGTTAATCCAAAGTTCACACAGTATTAATAAGTAATTAAAAACACTGGTAAGTAGGAATAAAAAGTCATGTATCAAATTTACTAAAAAACGCATCAATCTCATCAGGGGTGACAACACTACTTTAGCCTACTTTGTGTTGAGTGGCAGCAAACGCCACTTAGGGACCACCTAGCAGGTAAACAGCAAGCGCGTTTGGTACTCCATTGCCACAAAAAAAGGAAAAAAGATGCGACAACAATAAGCTTTCGACTACTCCTCACCTCGTAGCCTTGCTTGATGGCCATGGCACCCCGTGGTCGAGACCACGCGGCGTATTCCAGGCCATCTTTCTGTTGGCAGTGCTGTAGGAGAAACACATATTATTTATTATTTTTATAATTAAAATTATCCTATATATTTTTTTATATAGAAATAGGGTGACAAACGAGGACACAGTCCACCTGATGGTAAGTGGTTGCTGTGGCCCATAGACATTTGCATCTATCTTCCTTTACGAATCAAAATGCAGATGCGTTGTCAGCTGTGAGGACTAAGATAGAATGCCTCTTATTCAGTAAAAAGGGTCTCCGGTTCTCTACACTCACTATACCAGCAGCATTAAGCTGCTATTTTACGCTGGTATTCTGTGAGAGCGTGGTCCTTTCCCGGTCGAGCCGACCCATTCATGCTACAACTATACTATTAATATAGCTGCAGCATGGCTCTACCACGTATAAAAATTAATTACGTATTAAAATTATTATAGATATCGCAATAAAAGCTGTGAATGTTTCTAGGAAAGTGTATCTCTTAAAATACTATCCATTAATAGGTTCCTAATAGCTTTTATTGAAATAAAAATATTTTCGCGCCTTTTTGCATCTAATTAACAGCAGACTATACCAAGCTTTTTCTTTTTTAATTTTACTATTTCCAGCTGGTATAATCATTATTGGTCCTCCAAACCCAAAAATAAATTAGATTGTGGCGGCCAGTCTCACCGGAGACTAGCTACCTGCGTAGAACAGGATTATAGCGAGCGAGTGTGTGCTCAATCACAGGCAGACTCTTTTCCCTTATTCACATAGTCCGATCAGGTGGTGGTCCGAGATCAGGTGACTTTACGTGCTTTTCGAGGCACGGGTGTAAACTCCGTCAATTTTTGGACTCCAGGTTACTGAGAACTTCTTAACAGAAAGACCCAAAAACAATTTTTGGCTCGACCCGGGTTCCGAACCCGGGACCATACGATAATTGATTAGCAGTCACGTTTACGATCACTAGACAAAGGAGGCAGTCAAATTAATTCTAGTAAAATATTACTGAATTTTATGAAGATTAAAAACGTTTGATTGCGAACAACTCTTTTGAAACTTCTAAAATACGATCTTATGACGTTCCATTATCAAACAGCTTCTTTAGCATGATGTAACAATAAATCGGTGACTGTAATCTAAATGTTTGTAGTTATCCTTACGGATTTTAGCTAAAAATATAATATGTATAAAATTTCTCTTTTCGTAATATATAATTATAAAAATTCCGCAGAAACGATTCGGAAACTACATATAATCTTTAAGAAGCAAGCACAATAGCAATAATTCTCTATTATTGAGGATTTCTAATGCCTTATACGACGCCGTTACAGTGGTATGGCGCGCAAACTTACGTACAAGCATATACTCATATATATGTCGGAAAAACGATTTTTATATCCATGACCCGGCCAACATATAAAATGTTAGTCCTAAACTTGTCGGGTGTCCCTTTCCGACGTGAGATGAGTGAGTGGGAGGGGGTTATTCACGTGTGACGCAGAGACGGGCATGTATGTGGAACGCGAAGGTTAGTAAAGGCATGGAGGCGAGCTAAAGCTAAAATAATTAGTATTAAAAAAACATATTTTTCAGTAAATGGAAAAGTTTAGTTTAATAAAAAAATGTATAATTGTGATAAATAAACAAATTGTCACTAAGTCTCGTGGACGTTGTATACAATTTTGATAAATATTTACCAAATATACATAATAATATGCTTGGGCGTTGTCAATTCTGAGGTAAAGTCTAAGTAAAAACTCCATCACAACTTATAAATGAAAATAAAATTTAGTTAACATTTTATTAGTTATTTAAATATGCCTTTTCTATTAAACTTCCTCAATAGCTCAGAAGCTAAACGAACTCGCCGCAACTTTCGAAGTACGCAAACAGCCTGGGTTGGATCTTTGACGGTACCAAGGAAATTTTTAATTGCAACTTTTAGCACTAATTTACCACCTGCTCGACGGTAAAGGGAAATATCACATAGAATACTAATACTTAGTATATTATATGTAAACTATACAGAAATAGCTATTCATATATGTAGCTGTTGCCGTATAATATGAGAAATATTAATACAAATATTTAACATGCTACTCCGTAGCGTCTCTGTTCCCAAGAAAAACTCGCGACACGGAGTATTTTTCTTATACTTTCCGTGTGTGCGAGGTTACCAACGTGTGCGAGTCACCTACACGTTGGTTTGCGTGTGTGCTCACGTCTTGGGTAGTAAAATATTATGCTGTCGGGTCTAGAAATAACATTGTATAGGTAATCAATAACGCAGTATTTTTATGTTGGAGCCTGAATTTTCAGGGCGTTTGTACAAGGGAGTAAATGACTAAGTTTAACAAAGATATACAATAACAAGTACCTATAAGTATAACCTAATAAGAATTACGAAGGGTTTAAAGAATTTTATGTAGATACTAACACTATGATATTTCGACCAGGGCGAAAACTGCCAAGAAGAAATCTGAAGATATCAACTGCCTATGAATATTAGTGCTACAACTATACGACACAAAAACATAAAGGTATTAATTTTTGTAACCAAGCTTAATACTTCTGTGCTTCGTATGTTGAGTGTAAAGAATCGGAGAGCCTTTTTACTGGAAACGAGGCATTCCATCTTAGTCCTCACAGGTGACAACGTATCTGCATTTTATTCGCAAATGAGGATAGTTGTAGATGTCTATGGGCCTCAGCGACCACTTACCATCAGGTAGACTGTGTGCTCGTTTGTCACCTTTATACTATAAAAAAAATTGACTGCGCTATGCAGAAGCGGACATTTACACACATACCTAAGTTTAGCAAAGTTCGGGATTAAAAAGTTTCATATGACTGTTAGCTCCATGACAATACTATCTAGTTACAGCAGCCGGGTGAAATTGGATTTGAGCATCTCAAAGCAGAAGTAATTGGAGAATGAAGAGACGCTGGTCCGTTAATGGATTGCAACGGGCTCATAACGTTATATAAAAATATTTTATATTTGACAAAAAATTACGCCAGTATACATTACATATATTTACTGAGAACTATTATTGTGGCAAGACCCCGCTTTAAGAGTTCGGTGGTGTAGTGACGCTGCGGAACGTGAGTTTGAATACCGTACAGTAAAAATATCTATTCATCATCATCTTCATTACAGAGCATCGCAAGTCCACTGCTGAACATAGGCCTTCCCCAAGTAGAATCACAATACACGGTTTTATACGTGGTAGAGCCATGCTGCAGCTATATTAGGAGTATAGTTGTAGCACGAATGGGTCGGCTCGACCGCAAATGCGAAATGCAGATGCGTTATCACCCGTGAGGACTAAGATAGAATGCCTCTTTTCCAGTAAAATGGGTCTCCGGTTCTCTACACTCACCATACGAAACACAGCAGTGTCAAGCTGCCATTTTACGCTGGTATTATGTGAGAGCGTGGTCCTTCCCCAGTAGAGCCATCCCATTCGTACTACAACTATACTACTAATATAGCTGCAGCATGGCTCTACCACGATATAGCTGCAGCATGGCTCTACCACGTAGTATTTACATTAATAGATTATAATTAATGACAAATTCTTTAATACACAAAATACTCTAATAATTTGAGTATTATAGAGTTTTACTCCATTATACGTACAGTAAATGTCGATGCAAGTTGCAAGGGTAAATGATGATTAAACGTGATAACGTCTCAGGGCATCCAAACTCAATTTACGGTGTCCGTCCATTTGTCACTCGGCAAAAATGCGAGGCTAGGGATGGAAGTGTGAAATTATCTGAATGTTTGTACACAATACGTGTATCGAATGTTTTATATTAAGTATGGATAAAGAACGAGTACACCGTTTGCATGATGGTGAGTGGATGTTGTGATCTAGAGACAACAACGCATATGCTTGATTAAGAATAAAAATGCAGCTGTACCTGAGGACTTAGATGGATTATTATTACCACTAAAAATATTTTGATAAAAAGTAAACGCCGAATTCTAAGAAGTAAAAAAATAATAAAGATACACACATACTTAATTCTGTGCTAAGACACATGTAGGTATATACATTATGTACAGAAAAATTAAAGTCGCATCTTAAGAATATTAATAATTATATTATATTCTTTTTTGTATTTTTCTTTTTGATAAATATTGATTTTTTACCCTTCTATACCAATATCATTGTCGTCTAAATAGTTATATAAAAAAATTCACCTCTATTTTGCCACGTTTTGGAGTGGAATTTTTTCTCTAAGTTTTTATGTACCTTTCCTAATATTTGACTTATTTAATCAAAAACTTGGTTCACAACTGACGAAGATATCGTATCACATATATATAAAAAATATACAGTAATTTTTTTTAATCTATATTTTTTGATATATTTAATTGTAAACCTTCTTTTTTAAGTCGGATAATAAAGGTCTTTGATGGGTCTCACCCACCGAATAAAACACAGCAACATGTGTATGCATCTATGCTTAATTCTTAAGAACTAGGAAGTTTAGAAACAGTGTCAATTTTTTTCACCAAACTAAAATGTCTATTTGGTAAAAAAATTGGTAATAATATCTCATAATCATCGACAGTTACACATATGTACTTTGTCATATACCTATTTACGAGGGAAAGTCACTGTGTCGTATTACTGTAGCATAAATGAGTCGGTTAGACCGAGGAAGGTCCGTACATAATACCAGTGTAAAATAGTAGCATAATTTCGCTGTGATAAATGTATGGACTATGAATTCGGACCTTAGCATCCATTTACAAGTACCTATGCTCGTTTTACTTTTATGAATAATTACACTATATTTTTGTAAGGAGTACTACAAAGAACACTTGTGCGTAGGAATTACTTAGGTTTTTTTTCTATAGAAGAGGGGGCAAACGAGCATGCGGCTCACCTGATGGTGAATTACTACCGCCGCCCGTGAAGAACCGCAACACCAGGGGAATTGCAGGTGCATTGCCGGAATTTAAGAAAGGCCTTTAACTTTATACCACCCACTACCGTCTACCATGGTACAACCAGACCCTCGGCAAA